GTTCTCAGAGTTTCTGCTCCACCATGACACCCTCACCAGGTTCTTCAGAGAAAGATCTGAATGTTCTCAGGGTTTCTGCTCCACCATGACACCCTCACCAGGTTCTTCAGTCTGACGCACACTGAGGAGCCACTAGAAGACACTGTGACACATGTTACCACCTGAAGCCCGCGAGCTCACGTGCGAGTTTAAAGAAGCTTCACGTTTATAAACACTCTGAGCTTTCATAACACAACGACACGTGTTTCCTGTCTGGACTGTCAAAATAAAAGCTCACAGGGCAAACCTGGGGGGGAAAGTACTGACCTTGGACCCTGACATTCATTTTCAACAGTCTCAGTTCAAACCATAGACTGTATATAAACCTTTATATACAGTCTATGGTTTTATTTAGCTCGAACCTTCTCCACAAATCACTTGATTTCACTTTCTTTTAATTGTAATTCAAAAAGCACAGCACAGGGTCAGTTCATTGATTTGACTCCTGTCAGGACGGAGATTCAGTTTGTTTTGAGTGAAACATCACAAGCATTAAGAAAAAGAAAAGAAATCATGTAAAAGATTTAAATGGGATTAAAGTAGAAGTTAAAGGTTGAACTAGAACAAGGCAGATGGAGATGGGAGTGTGTGTTATAACATAAAGCCTCATTTAAAATAAAGTTGGAGTGTTATGTAGTGAACCATCATGATATTTATTACCACTGACTTGATCCTTTGTGCACCAACATGGGAAAAATTTATTTTTATTTTTTATTTTGAAGGCATATTTGGTTGAACTTCCGGTTTTCTTGCTCATGCTTTGACCCTAGGGTTTTGGTTTTGACGCAGCTCGTTTAAAGACAGCGCCCCCCTCTGTGCATGTGGCAGCACAACACCGAGCTGTGGAGATAATTCACTGACTGAGACACTGGAGTTTATTACAAGAGTAAAAAAAAAAAGAAAAGTAATTTACTTTTGTCTTGTGTTTGCGAGAATAAAATAAATATTTCGATGAATTTAATTTAGACATTTGACTCGTTGAAGTCTTGAGGAACATGATCGGCCTCAACGTTACAAGAGACGACAGGTTTAAATGTTGTGGGTAATGAGACTTTTACAAAAATAAAAACTCTTTTTTGTTGGACTTTAATGAAAAACCCTAATGTCAGAAGGTATCAGGTAAAGCAATTTCATTTTTTATTTCTATTAGAGAAACTCTAGCAGACAGATTTTCCTCAGAAAGTTTGTTCAGTTCTAACGATTTTAAGTTAAAGTTTGAAATGGAATAGTTTCTAAAATTTCCCCAAACACTCAAACTGTCACAGGAAATCAAATCAGAACGTTTTGTTTTATTTCTCATTCTTGAGAGTGACTCTGATGACTCCTCCCCCTGACGTCACCCGTCCGTGAGTTCAAACATGATCCCTGAAGCAGCAGCGTCTTGGTCCAACTGGAGTTTATTCTGAACATTGAAAGACAACAACGTACATCTTCTTCTACAGTGATAATTAACAGCAGTCTCCACCCCCCCCCTCATATATTAACTCTCAGATTAGCAGTAGTATTATACACAACCTGGAAGATAGACAGTGAGAACAGGTTCAAACTGGATTAGGTTCAGGGAGGAGGTCGGGTAGAACAGTAAGAACAGAACAGGGTCGATGACGACCATCCTCATCCTCATCCTCATCATCATCGTCATCGTTAGCTTCAATCTGGGGAAACACACATTCACACCTGCCTCCACTGTCGTGATGCTGCAGCCGGCTCGGCCTGGCTGACCTCTGATTGGACAGTGACTGGTCACTAAGGTAACTATAGGTTGTCTCCGTGGTAATCCAGTGTGTGACTGTAACCGTGGCGTTAAATTAAAAACGTCTCTAGCTAAATTGACTAACTGGCCGAGTGGCTAGCTAACTAACGTATATATACAACACACTGGGATTTTATCTGTCGTCTGACTGGCGAACGCAGCGGCCATTTGAAACGCTCAGGTGGGGAAAGTCTGCGAGGAGGATTAGCGCTGCCTTCAGAGCGACTCCTGAGTTTGTGTACTTGAAAACAATCAAGTAATGATATGAATATAAACACTTAGATTTGTTGTCCTTCGAAAATCAGCGACTGGATGTTTTTTCCGGTGTTGAACTAGAGCGCATGCTTTCGTAAACAAGCTAACGCAACCTGATATGAAGGCACCAGAAGTACGAAGCAGGATTAACGTTAAAAGAAGTTAAAAATTTTAATATTCAAAATGTCTCACATTTATATAAATTTCAAGATGCTAGCAGGCTATAGCTTTTTCGCTAATTGTAGCAGATATTGTTTTGGCGAGGAACTCTAATGACCTCAAGTATATGTGCTAGCTAACCAGATTTTACAAGTAGCTAGCCACATTTAAGTAGCTACGGTCGTCACTCACATCGTACAAACATGTAGCCGAGATGTCCCAGATACGGGAGACGCCATATTGTACTTGGGACGTAATTTTAAACGAGAGGTGTGCGCAGTAGAGTCGTTGGTGTGGAGCCAGCGATCACGTACATGAGCTTCAGTTTGGCCCTCGTCTCCTCCACTAACGTAAAGGAAGCTGGGTTCATGACCTATGCTGCAGCCAGCCACTAGGGGGCTATGGAGATGATGTGGCTTCACTTTTAGGGTGATGCCATGTCGTCCATCTTTAAATCCAGTCGCGGCTACTGAAAGACTTTTGGTCTTTTATTGACAACAAGAATACAATTTCGTCTTTTTTTTTTTTTTTTTTTTTACTAATCTTCCAGGTCACATTTCCTGCTTCGAGAATTCAAAATGGCCGCTGTGTGACCCCTGTAAGTCGTCTCCTCTGCTCTAACGCTTGCGACAGTGTCTGTTTTAAAAGTGCTGGGAGTGCCGACGCACAGTAAAATGATTTCTACGCTAAGCTGTCTCATGGTTAGCGTGTGGAAATGCCGTTTCTTATAAAATACACGTCTGCAGTACCTATAGCGCGTCAGAGCCCCCCCCCCCCCCCCCGATCGATCCGACTCTGGGCCCCTGGGATACCGTCAGGTTTGTCCCTCCCTGCATAGCGACGGCCGCTGTGCCGTCTCCGCACAGCAGCAACGTGACACCAGAGGTAAAACACGTGACGACAGAATCACCTACAGAACCCCTGTGTGCGTTCAACGTCCAATAAAAACAAAGACGTTCTTCTTCACAGTACCTCAATTTAAATTAGTCCAACCTGATCATTATCATCATTATTCACACAAAAGGACATTTTGGCAATTTATGTACACTTGTCATGTGTCGTGTGTTTCTATAGATTCATTATTATTATTATTATTCGCATTGTTAGTTTTTCTCCTGTACATAAAGTCAAAATGTCGCGGTCCCTTTAACATGCAGTACCTCGACCCTAACACACACACACACACACACACACACACACACACACACACACACACACACACACACACACACACACACACACACACACACACACACACACAC